GTTTTTTCTTCTGTCTACTTTGCATATATAAATTGACGTTTAGTTAAGCTGGCTGCCCCCGGGATAACACAAAACCTCTTATAAGCCAATCACTGACCACCTGGTCACACACTGACACCAAACACAAAGCAAATGCCTACCGACGTCCCACTGGATGGATGCAGGCGGATTTTAGGTGATTTGGACACAGTGCTTATGAAAAGCGTGGTTCCAATCCCCTTGTGGGATACTTAACTTTTTCTAAAAGAGAAGATCAGGCTCCTACTAAACTTAACTAGTTTAGAAGACCATGCATACATGGTTCACAACCACCGTATTGTCAAACACAAATGCAATTTACGGAAGTCCTTGCTCCTTAAATGGGGAGCAGCTACATCGTTGTAAGTACAGGCATGTCCTTCCAAGGGCTGTGGGGCTGACAGGTAGAAAAAGGAGACTGAGCAATTTCTTATACAAGCAGGTGACCTAATAGCTTGCAGAAACTGGGGAAAGACATTTATATGAGATTCAAAGACATTCCAAAGTCAAAATGGAAAATTACATTAAATGACGATAAGAGCTGAAACACTGCATCCTTTCGGCTTGATACTGACAGGAGGCTTTACAGGCGATAAGGTAAAACACTGATATGACAGTCAAACCGCAGTTTGGGGAAATTACAGTGCTCCAAGCGCCAAGTGACATTCGTCAGCAAAGGAGCTTAAGAATTCCAGTGTGTAGACCTTGCTCCATCAGCTGCAATGTTTGTGATGTCAAAATCAGGTAATTCATCATATCCTGGGGGAGGAGGTGAGTGGTACTTCCGTAAAAATAACAGAAGGACTCTCTCGGTCGAAGGAAGGACAATGCATCCTTGGAAATATTTCAAAATTGAGGAGCGCAACCCAATTGACAGTTCCTATCAAGTCCCACAGCCGCCTCTGGATCCAGCAATTGTACTTTTGATAACTTAACTATCATGGGTCAACCACGGTAGGAAAACAAAGGAAACAGTCATCCTGGATGTTTTTCAACCACAAAGGGTCAGAACTCACACAGCCAGTGCGGATCCCAAACCCAAGTTGGAAAATCTAGATTGACGTGGTCCTGGCTTGGTAGTGAGCCCAGGTCATGCCCACTGCCTGGAGAACCCACGCTAAACATGGGTTCTAAACACGCAGGCCATGGGCACTTCAAGTCCAAGGAATGTACCTTCACGATCACACATAGACGGGTCTCTGTTCCTCTGCTTGTCTGCTGTGACCTATACCCTCTTATGTGCCTGAAATACAGGGCCACGACATGGGCATGACAGAGACGACTTGCTAGTCTACGGCAAGTGCTCGCAGTTGGGGAGCAGTCACGGGGACGCCTTCTCACGACGGCCAGTCAGACGGACCGCCCGGGAAAGATCTGCCAGGGCACGCTAACCCCTGGCAGCAGGGAACCGCGACTTCAAGGCATAAAGCATAACTGGAAGGAAGATGGCCCTACACTGCGAAAGACTGAATCTCTCTGAAGCTACTACAGTTCCAAACTTTATCAGGTCGACAGGAAATGGCAACTCTTCCACCGTTATCATCCTAACAGTCAATATGTCATCCTAACCTGCAGATCCCTGGCCACCGCCAGGGTGGCTTTGAGTGCCTCGTACACATGCACTCAGCGAACACTCTCCTCAGCCCTGCCCCGTGGTCCCCCAGGGACAGAGAAGAAAAGTAAGACACAAAGAAGGGATGCATCGCTCTCAAAAAGGCTGCAACAGATACAAAAATATCCTCAGTGGTGGGAAGATGTCGGTAACATGGTCAACAACTTTGATCTAATGGAATATGCAGAGTCTACAACTAAGAACTGGAGAACGCACATTCTTTTCAATTAGTTATAGAACATTTATAAAACTGGACCATGCTCTAGATCGTAAAACAAGTCTCAACAACCACAAAAGACTCAAACTTGGGATTTCTACAATCACAGTGCAGTTGAAATCAACAACAAAAAGATACATTTCAATATGTCATACAATTGGAAATTTTAACATATGCTTCTAAATAAATCATAGGAGGTACTAAGTAGTGAAAGAAATGAAAAAGATCTAGAAATAAACAATACTACTACTACATGCCAAAATTTGTGGGTTGTAGATAAATCAATGCTTAAATGGGAATTTTGTTACTCAAGTGCTCATAATAGAAAATGAGAAAAGGTTGAAATGAGGTGAGCGTCTGAAGACAGAAAAATTTTAAAGGACAGTAGAAGAACCCCAAAGACTAACAAATAAGGAAGGAGGAAAAGAAACTAAATGAAATAGAAAACAGGAATAGAAAAGAGAAGTTCCACAAGATACATTTTGGTTCTTGGAAAATAGTAATAAAAATGATATTAGAAAAGTGACTCCAAAAGGCAGGGACATAGTATAAATATATAATATTAGGAATAAACAACAGATGCAGAAAAAAATTAAGGTGAGAGAATATTATGGGCAATATTTAGCTAAGGCATTTCAAACCTTATGATGAAATGGATGTATTTTTAGAAAAATATAACACCAGGGTCAACTGAAGCAGCAAATATTAAAGGAATCAGATTGGTAGTTAGAAACTTTCCCACGATGCAGTATCCCAAGACATTTGAGAACTGTTCATCTCACATATTATTTCAAAAAATAGAAAAATGAGCAAGTTTACTCCAAAACTAGTAAGTAAAGCAAACTAGAACAGATAAGAACAATTACAGTCTAATGTTAATGACTTTAGATAAAAAATATCTTGACTAACACATTAAAAAAAACAAATTTAGCTACATATAAAAAAAAATACATGATAACCTAGTTGGAATTGCCCCAGGAATGCTAATTTGGTTCATTATATTAAAAAAATGATGAATGCAACCTATCTCATTAATGGATGAAAGAAAGCAGGAAATGTATTTGATGATATTCAATATCAAGTCAGGCTTAAAAAAAAACCTCTTGGCAAAATAGGAAAAGAAGGGAAATCCCTTCAGCTGAAACATTTGAAGCGCCCCTTACAATCAAGCAGAAGATAAGACATGCCACACTTACTGCTTCTACCAGCATAATGGAGGTCACAACCAGCAGCGTGAGATAAGAAAAATAAATAAAAGGCAGGAGGATGGAAAAAGAATTAAAACCGTCCTCATTTGCTGGTGATAGGATTGTCTCTACAGAAAACTCAAAACAGAAATAAAGAGAGAGTTTAGCAAGGCATGTGGTTCTAATACTAACATATGAAAGTCGTGTGCTCTCTACACTCCACGTGAATAAAGTAGGAAACATAATAATGAGTGAAAAGAAATGAAGTCAGAAGAAATTAAAATGAAAGTAAGATACTGTTCACATAAAGGTGGAAAAGAGGCCAGTTATAAAATATACTCTTCAGAGATAACACACCCGTGGTAAAGCTATAAATAGCAAAGAGGTAATTAAGACCACATTAAGGACCTCTAGGATGGGGGACGGAGGGTGAAATTAGGGAGGGAGACTTCAAAGGCACTCTAAAGACTTGATTTCTTAAGATAGGTGTTCTCTTCGTTATCATTCATTACCTTGTACATACAGGGCAGGGCAAAAGTAGGGCTTACAGTTGTGAGTGTGTGAAACACGGAGTTTATTCTTGTATTATTATTTATTAATTATTGTATTATTTTCCATATGAATAACCAGAAACTAATTTTTGCCCCACCTTGTATATGGTCTACATAACTGTTTTAAGAGGAGGCCCTGAAGGTAAAGCACCTTTTATTACCAACTGTTGGATGTTTTAATATTTTTTCCCTCTTTAGATGTTTGTATTTCCAGATATTTCTACGAGGGTGGATAGTTTTTATACTAAGAAGAGACCTAGAAGCAATTTCCTCTAAAAGCCTTTAAGTAAACAAAAATCACCCCAGTTTTACACTTAGGATAATAAAATACTTGGAAAAGAATGTATATGTTTGTGCTAGATATGTTTCTCATTTAACCCCACATTTTAAAAATAAACTTCGGGGCAATCTATTTTAATCGAAGAACATTTTGAAGAGTTTGGGACGCTGGCTGTTTTATGAGACCTTATTACAACTTTACACTAATTTTATAGCGTAGTAGTATATCTTTTGGTAAATAGCCCCGCCTCAGGATCAAATGTAGATACCGAGGATGCGTATTTTAATGCATTAGATAATCGCAGAGGAAGGCGTACTGATACACGCCTAGGCTTTCAGCGAGGAATTGGGCAGAACTGGGCAAATAACTAAATAACTCACACACATGATTTCCCAACGAATCTCATCTCCAACTGCTCTGGCGGAAGAAACGTTAGGAAAAGGTGGGGCTTTTCCCCGTGTAAAGCCTGTGGCTGTGGCCCAAGACAGCCCTGGGCAGTGGCGAATGAATACTGTCACTTAACAGCCTGATATACCCTATTGATGACTTTCATAAAAAGAAAATTCGGCTGAGAGGGAAAAAACACAAGAAGACACAGCACAAGCGCCAAGACATTCTTAACTGCGGCACCAGCGCACGGACGAGGAGCTTCTGAGAGGACCTGCCCACGCCGGCCTCCAGCGACGACCGCGGGCAACCCGAGCGCCTCCCTCAGAGGCCAGGCCAGCAGCGAGAGCCCCTTCATCCTCCCAGAGGCCTCGGAAGCAGCCAACCCCTGGCAGATGGCACTGGGCGGTCCGCCCCCGCTTTCAAGAGGTTGACTTTTTTGTTGAAAAGCCATCGAGTGAAAGCCACCACCTCCAGACAGCATGCCCTATGACATATTTATGGTCTGTCTCTGTGCCATCACCCTGCTAACTGAAAAAAATAAGCAAACTGCTCAGTTTCAACGCTGAAGAGTCCCCTAGTTTTAGCTGCTAGTCCCCATGACAGCCTGACACAAACCGAAAGTGATCCCAGGTCGAGGGGCCTTTTGCGGCCACATCAGAAAGGAGAACTTGGGGACCTACCCCCGGGAGGATGTGTGATGAACATTTAAAAGGGGAAATGAAAGAAGGGCTCACTTTCACCTTACCTTTTCAACATCTGCTTTGGTAACGTTGATGTCAGCGTCCATTTTCTCAAAGTACTGCTGCGCCCGGTCGGCCTCTTTGCAATCTCGCTCAAATCGCCGCTTGCTCTACAAGCAGAGGAAGTGGGCGGTGGGCAAGTAATTAGGGAGAAGCCGTGAGATTTCTGGGAGCATGTGCATTTTGCCCAAATCCCCCATGGAGCACCCTTCTCTGAACTGATTTGCTGGGTGTCATAGTCTTAGGGAGTTATTTTAAAATCTGCACTTCTGTTCACCCCGGCTACCCAATCTTTGTTCTTTCCGTTTTTGGTTTTTTTTTAAGAAAAATACTCCCCTTGAGCTTTTTTGGCTCAACATTTTACTTTAGATAAAAGTTTCTAGAAATATACTACCTTTCAATTAGAAAAACCTCTAAAGACATTTCCTTTAGTGTTTTCATTGGCTTTGTACGTACGGATTGATTTAAGCTTCAGTTCAAGTCGGATCGGAAAACCGATCCAGACTTTTCCAGAGCTGTTTGCTTTCCACTTACTGATTCAAGTTGCTTCCAGCAAGTCTCTATGTGCTGCTGGGCCTTCCGTCCATCGTGAAAGTGCTGAAAGTGAGAAACACACCAGTGGTCAGCCCAGCCTCTTTCTCATATTGACATGAGAAAAAAAATCCATCCCCCGAAACAATACTTAACTACAGAATACTCAGCATGTGCACTCCCGAGAAATTCAAGGGTTAAAAAATAAAGGGGAAATGAAAACAAGAATAGTCACAGGGTACCCTTTTAAAACTTGAGATATTGCCAAACTGAATTCTAAGACTAATGCCACATGTAAAAGTGACAGGGATGTCTTAAGGCAAAGATCACTTAGATCTTTCTTTTGAATTGCTTTGAGATGTAATTCACGTTCCATACGATTCACGCAAATTGCGCAGGTCAACGGTCTTTTAGTAGGGTCACAAAAATATGCAACCGCCACTGTAATCAATTTCTATCACCCCAAAGAGAAACCCTGTGCCTCCTAGCTGCCACCCTCCTGTCCCCAATCCCCCCTGGCCCTAGGCAACCACCAATCTACTTTCTGTCTTGATAGATGTGCCTCTTGTAGGTGTTTCATAAAAAAGAAACCTTACAACAGGAAGTCTTCTGTGACTGGCATGATGCTCTCATTACTCCGCGATGCTCACTTAGCAAATTACATTTTCAAGGTTCATCCATGTCATCACACGTATCAGTACTTTATTCCTTCCTGTAGCCAAATAGCATCCCACTGTGTGGACATACACCACGCCTTGTTTACCCATTCACCAGCTGATGGACTTTCGGGCTGTTCCCATTTTGGATCTCCTATGAATAATGCTGCTACAAACATTTGTGTAGGTGGATGTTTCCATTACTTCGACCTTTTAAAGCTTTAGTATAAATCCACCTCCCTGCTATCCGCAAAGGCCCGAGGCAGGTATGTGCCCAGTGCTGACCAGCAAGAACACGACAGGACTAGACTAGGGCGAGCCCCACAAACTAGGAGACGGGGTCAGAGCAGACGGGCAGACTGCGAAGCAGGGGCGCTCAACCCACAGCCCACCGCGGCTATGAACGCGGCCCAACACAAAATCGTAAGTTTACTTAAAACCTTTTTTTTGCTCATCAGTTTTGGTTAGTGTTTGTGTATTTTGGTTAGTGTTTGTGTATTTAATGTGTGGCCCAAGACAACTCTTCTTCCACTGTGGCCCCGAGATGCCAAACGTTGGACGCCCCTGGTAGGGTCTTGCAGGCTTTCTGTCTGAGCGAGCTGGGAGCCACGGATAACTCTAAGTACAGAAGCATCATGTTCTGATGGAAGGGCCCAGGCAGAATGCTCCCTCCACCTCTGCAGGTGACAGAGTCTTGGACCACACGGTAGCGGAGAGGCCGTGAGAGAGGGTCCGATTCCGGTGTCCTTTGATCAGGAAACCACCAGGATGTGCTGGTGGGCTGTGAGAGACTGAGGTGTCAGGGTGGCTCCGAGGCTGTCCTGACCCGCCTGGACCATGTGGGCAGGCTCACTGGCCCCGGGGCTCTGTTAGGGTTGCCATGGAGAGGTTCTGGCCTATCAAGGGGAGCGCACTGAGCTCGAGGCCTCCCCCCAGTGAAGATGCTCTAGGTTGGCTGGGTCCCTCGACCAAAGGCCGCAGCTCTGGTCCTGCAGCCGCCTCAGAGTGAACCTATGAAGTTCCTGTAAGGCTTCCCCTGTCCCGGGACCTGGGGCCACAGGAGCTCCCCACGGCGACCTGCCCGGGGGCACTCGGCACCCCTTGTTGTTTTTCCTGAACCCTCTCCACAACGTCCTAAATGCTTCTTTTAATAAACGAGCTCCCTTCAGCGAGCGGGGCTGAATGTACGGTCTGTTTTCCGACTGACAAGCCAGCATGGGGGTGGTTCCACGGGCAAGGCAGGGGAAGGAGGGGCAGGAAGCAGGAGGGCCCCTCTGCACAGCCACCAAACTTTCAGAACTTTCGCCTCACCTGGTCAGAACCTGGGGCTCAGCTGAGTCACAAAAGACAGCTGACTCCTGGGAGGCTGGGCGGGAGGAGAGAGGTCGGGTTCTCTTTCAAAGAACAGTGCTTCTTTATAAGGGAGCATTGACTTGTCTCCTTTTCAGGTCACGTTTCACTGTCTTAAGTGCCTCTTGATAGCAAGTTTTAGCCATCCAGCAATTTTTTGGTGTCTATGAACCCAAAGAGCCCCCTGGGGCTTCATTTTCTCAAGTCTCCTAACAGACACAGAGAAGCGACAGAAAAGAGACAGAGCCTAAGGGTAAGGGATAAACAAGCAGGCAGGGTCAAGGCTGCGGGGGAGTAAGAAGTAGCGCCCAGGGCAGAGTTAGGAAAGCTGCAGACTTTGGAGGAAGTACAAAGTGCAAGCAGGTTCTCCAGAGGCCACAAAAAAAAAAAAAAAAAAAGAGGGAAGGAGTGAGAACGGAGGGAAGGAGTGGCCAGTGCCCAGGGGCAAAGCGACCTGGGCCAACGGGGAGGCAGAAGGACAGGCTCAGGGAGGCGCAGAGGCTCAGCTGTGCCCTTTCAGGGGGCGACCTGGTCCTGAGAGTCCCTGGCTGTGCAGAAATGCCACTTCCCCAAACGGCCACAAGAATGATCCCCTCCTCTAGCAGGAGCGCGGTGGTACACAGTTGGCTGAAAAGCCTCACCATTCCCCCCGATTTTACCTTGAGAGTTGCAGATGAACCCAAAAAGAAAAGGCTCCCTGGGTAGAGCGAGGAAACACATGCAGAAGGACGTGCAGAAAAGTGACTGTCGGTCACACAGGAAAGGAGGACTGGGCTTCGTCATCCCAGGAATTAAAAAAAAAAAAAAAGTCCTACTTTGGCAGCATGAGGGATGATCCCCATTGGAAACCCACATATGCGTTTCTCCTGCCACTCCTTCATCGAACTATTTTATAATAAGTATGAATTTATGTTTCAGGCACAGTGTGGACCTTGGTTTTCCTGGTGAGCTTTCCCCCAAGAAGGCCCTCTCAGCACAGTTCTGCCAGACTAAAACAATGGTCCGAAGACTACAGGTGCGATGCAAGAAAAAACATCTAGGGGGTGGTGATTTTCCTCCTCCTCTTTTTTGCATTGCACAATCCCTCCTGAATTTATTTGGCTACAACACACACACAGGCGCAAGCGCGCACACCGTCGCCGCTGCCTGATCCCTTAGGAAAGGGACGGTGGAACGGACGCCCTCCTTACGGCTGCGCGCGCGCACCATGACCCAGAGAGCAGCGGCCCTCTGTGCCCAGTTCTATCTTCCCTCCTTTAATTGGAAAAGCCGGCTTAACAGTTGCAAAATAAAACATACCAGCTCTCCAGATGCGCTTGTTGTTTGTTGACAAACAATAGCAAACCACTGCTTTGCTGGACAGTGAGTGAGAGTGCATGTAAGAAGTGGGCCCCCCGCCTTGCATAAAGAGGGATTGTTCTCCGGAAGAAGATAATAAGCGCTTCTTTCGGAGCCACGGAGTGAAGTCACCCGGCTCTCCTCTCCTCTCCGAGAGACAGGAAATGCCGTCCCCTGAGACCCAGAGAAATGCTCCTGCTTGCTCCTGTGAGCGGAGGCTTGAGTTTCTCTTCAAACACAATGAGACTTCTAAAAACGCCCGACGGTAGCTGGGTGACAGCTCAAGTCACTTTCATTTCAACTTTTTAGTTGACCAATAAAAATAGACAGATAAAATCATCCTTCAAAAATGTTTTAGAAATTTCCCAGGGACCAGGGGAAGCTGAGATCAAAAATCACAGGGAGCCTAAAATAAGCAAGCATTAATAGCTATAGAAGAATTACAATGACAAAGCCCTCAAGAGACTTCACCACTCTGCGAGATCGGGAGGAACAAACTGTGAGAATGTTTACTACCCACGCTCTACTATTAGGTACAACAGCGGCTCACTTTTATTGTATATGTATCACAGGCCATTAACCTTTGAAAGCTCCTTACTGGAGCAAACTACGGCACTGATGTGACAGCAGCCACTTAAAAAAAAAGTGGAAAAAAGAAAATAATAAACACTCAGTAGAGGACAGTCAACCATCTGGAATTTTAAATGAGACTCAGATTCTACAGATGAAAACAAAGGAATGCCGGGGCTTGAAAAGGGCAAAGAGAAAAGGAGCATCCAGAAACTTGGTCTGTGGCAAATATAATGACTGCTTCCAAGCCCACAGAGCGCTGGCAGGGAACACTGGCCCCTTCTACATCCGACTGGGGGCTGGCCGACCCGCACAGCGCCGAGCCTCGCGGGCGCGGGGACGCCCGTGCGCCGTGTCGGAAGCTGAGAGGCTCGCTCAGAGAAGCCCTTCGCGCCGCCCCGAAGCCCGAGACGTAAGCCCAGAGACATCATGGCAGGAGTCACATTCTGCTGTTAGTTATTTTTCCAAATTCATTTAGAGTAAAGATACCTTCTCGACAAATGTGTTTAAAGTTCCTAAAATGCCTACCTCCCACTGTCATGCTCAGTGGCTGAACTTGCCCCAAACACTGACCATCTGGGCCCTGGGCAGGGGACTCTGTCCATGGCCTGGGTCCAGCGACACCGGCCAGGTTTCCTTCACTCCCTGTCCCGGTGTCCTTTTGCCGCAGTCCCTCTGTTCTCCTCACGCTGGCTTTTGCTACCCAGAACGCTCACATCCAGTTTACCTAGACTCCAGAAGTCTCTTCTCTGCTCTTCAGAAGAATCCCTTCTTTTATATCCCTTGAAATTCTAATTCCTCTGAAGAATCCCAATGAGCTCTTGGGATCTTAAAACGACCACTATTAAGCAGCAAATGTCCCTCACTTATCCCTTCCAAGAGTATACCACTCTTACTTCCAAACCAAAACAAGGAGAGTCACCGTTGTTAGGAGTTTATACACAGGCCGGTGTGGCTCCGTGGACTGAGTGCCGGCCTGTGAACCGGGAGGTCACTGGTTCCATTCCCAGTCAGGGCACGTGCCTGGGTTGCGGGCCGGGTCCCCAGGTGGGGGACTGTGGGAGGCAACTGATGGGCGTTTCTCTCTCACATCCATGTTCTTCTCTCTCTCTCTTTCTCCCTGCTGCCCCCGCTCTCTAAGAATAAAGTCTT